GGGGGGGGGGGGGGAGGAGGGTTTAAGGTTTTGACCAGAAGAACTAAACTTATTCTTTCTCTATATATATGGCAGGAGGGTCACATGAATCACCCCTAAAGCCTGCAGTAAATGATTGCATAGCTGATTCTAAAAAAGGAGAGTCTCCTGTGCCTAAAGGAAAAACAAATAATATATTAAAAGATGCTGAAGCTCCATGCAAAATTCCTCTCATGTTTTCAGACCCTGAGGATGAACGTGGGTCTGTTGGATCTCCTCCTGTGGAGGAATTGAAAAGTTCTCCTGCACTTTTGTAAGTAGAACTGAACATGGTGGTGCTGTCGTGTCCTCCCCACCCCTTAGGATAAATTTCTCATGGTAGTCTCAGTCGTTCATGAGTTTGCATTGTGAACTCATAAGAAATGACTCTCTAAGACTTTTAGAAAACTTCCATATTTGGGTTTAGAAAAGGCTGAATTGTTTTTTACTAAATATTCTGGGAGTAAGGTTTAATGACCAGAAGTACAGTACCCAAGCACAGGATGCCTGGTAGAATAGATTTTAACTGCTTTTTCTCAGGAAAGTGCCATGAATTACTAGCTTCTCAGATAGTCTAGACTTTTCCAGTGAATCGTATTGACAGTGTTGACCTTAAAAGTTAACAAAAAATTTGTTAAAGCAGAGAACAGCAGTAATTCTTCCTTTCGCTCTGAATATACAAATATTTTATACAATGTAGAGCAGCTTCAGTTGTGATCATTACCTCCTGTTTGGAAAATGTGAAGCCCAGCCACAGTTCTGCTTTCCTGAAGGAGTGAATCTCCAGAGTAGACTGTAGACAGGGACTAACACTGATCCCATTGACTCCCCTTGATGGAGTGAGATTGGGAAGAGAGTGCACCTTAGGCCTAGGAAACCTAACCATTTCTGAAGCACATTCTTCTAAAATTAGGAATTTGTCTTGCTGAGCAGCCCTCATTTTGATGAAGAGTCACATGCTGACCCCATGTTGCCTCATTGATTAAGACACTTGTTGCTATGCTGGAAAGTAGTACTGCTACCCTGTGTTCCAGAAAATTACCAAATGTAAGTTCATTCATAAGAATGGAGGCACTGCCAGCAGGAGAAAGTGAGAGCATCAGTCCAGTTGCACACTATACTTTAATGTGCGCTCAGTATTAATATCATCATATTTGAATGCTGTTTCTTCCACATAGATTACTTTTGGATGACCAAAATTCCCCTGCTGCAGTGAAGAGACATGTGGAAGTTGAAAATGTAGAAGCACCTCAGACTGGGAGAGAGAAGCAGGTTACTCTTGTGCAGGGAGCAGAACGTATTGCTACATCTTCTGTACAGAAAGAGAAATCTTTCTCTGCGGTTGTCTTGGAAGCTGTAGCAACGGGAGCACTTGGAAAAAGGTTTGTTTTGAGGCTTTAATACAGAACATAATTTGCTAGTAAAATAACCAGTCCTGAGTACTGGAGCAACATACTTTTATCTATAAACATGGGCTGGAAGAATGTTTTGGGGTAGTCCAATATTACTGAAAAATGCCACTTGAGAAAGCGCATGAGTAATTATTTTTGAGTTTTGTGCTGTTAGGATTTAATGGTGCTGTTGCTTCTGTCTGCCAGTAGAATAGTATGTAACTGATAAAGAATGTTTCAGATTGAGCCAGAGATGTTTTGATAAGTAGGTTGGGGGATTCAGGAAAGCCTTATGTGATTCTGAAGTTAGCAATGATCAAGCAGTCTTTTTCAGAGCTCATACAGATCTGACTGGTTAGTTAGGAAGTTGACTTTCCAGCATCTGAGAAATAATGAGGTGCAAATACAAGGCCAAAGCAAGGAGAGGCAGACCTTGTGCTCTTCTTGGAAGCTGAAAGCCAAAGAATGATGAACTTTATAATAATGCTTCTGTGGAGTGTCCTGTAGTGTGTTTAGGTCTTCTAGAGTCATCACTAGATTTGCAAGAATGGAAAGTAATTTTTTTTCCCCAAAAATGATATGAATACTTTGTCCCTTCCTTCTTCAGGTATTCAGTGACAACATTACCGTCATCACCTCCTCCTGTGAAAGATCAAGATATAGAAATAGAAAATGAATGTGAATTTTTAATTGATGAATCAGACAGTGAATCTTCTAATTGGTTTTCAATACCCCATAAGAACAAAAAGTCGAAAAAAGATGGCTCTGCAACTCTTGTTTCTCAAGCTCAGCCCTCTGAAAAGGAGAAGACAGAGAGTAAGAAAGGCAAGAACAGAAAAGTACAGGTTAAAGCACTTACTAAACAGAAAACGGATGATTTGGATGGCACAGCATATGACTTCAGAGGAACATCTGAATCAGATCTAGTCTCCAACAGTGAAGGAAATGTCCCTAAGTCTCAAAGGCAAAACAGTACTCCTATGGGTAAGTTATTTGAGAGGTCTTTGGACTTCTTCCAAGTCATATTACTCAATATTTTTGTGATTGTTTATTTTGGGAAATAAGGATAAAGTGATGTGAGATACAATGGATTCCTAATTGATGTTTTAGTTGCACGGTTAGATTTGGGTATAAATAAGGTGGTGAAGACGGGTCCTAATTTTTTTGTTGTTGGTTTTTTTGTTGTTGTTGGTTTTGGTTTTTTTCCTCTAATCCTTCCTGTTAGAACATATGAAATGAAGTTAGCAGTGTTGCCTTTTCCTATTAGCAGACAAAGGAGGTAGGTTCTCACAAGCTTTGAGAAGGGTTTTGTATCAGAAAGCACCAAAAATGGGAAAGCAGATTGAATGTAACATTTCTACCCTTTTAAATTATTATTTTTGTGTTCATTTTTATGCATTCAGATGTCAACTTATATCTTCAGGTTCAGTGGGAAAAGATACTAATGTCCAAGTGTTTTGTGTATTGACAGGAAAGACTAAAAAGGATACTCTTAGGCATGGCTCTGCAAACCAGAAAAAGGACAGGTCCTCGGAACCAGAAGATGAAGAACTGCTGTTGTCATGTTCTGGATTGGAAACACAAACATCTGATACAAACCAACATAAAACAAGGGTGAAGCCAAGTGAGGATTTGCCTATGCCCTCAGATGGCCATCAGCAAGAGGAGACTGTGTCTCAAAAGAAGAATCTTCAGTCTTCCAAGCAGGTGGCTTCAAAAGCTCCTCAGGGTTTACTTCACAAGAAACAAACTGCTAAGAGGAAACTTCAAAAAAATACAGTAGCTAAGACACTGGTAGAAAGTCCAAGGAAGAATCTTAAAAAATCTGTCAAGAAGCATAGTAATAAAAAGCCTCACAAAAAAAGAGAAGAGAGCTCTGACAGTGACCCTGGTGAAGAAGAGTTTGAAAGAGAGCCTGTAAAATTGAATGAAGTGTTTACCTCACCCCTGCATCAGAAACTGGAGAGTTCTGTGGTTCAGAAGTTGTCTAAGTCTAAAAGAAGAAACTGTCTAAAGCCTAAGAATTTATTGCACCCACCGGAGTCACTCGGTGGTGCAAATTACAAAACTCCTGAAAAAGCACTACAGCATCTCATAGACTGTGTGAAGAATTCTGAAAGGAAGCAATTGTCACCTGAGTCTTCAGAGAAGATACCCAAAAAGATTAATCGCCAAACCAGTAAAGGTGTTTCCTCAAAACCTGAGGACACAGAGTCTCAAGTGGATTCTGACAGCTCTTCTGTACAGGACGTAGCAAGAAAAAAACAGAAGTTACCAGATGTGGAAATGCGAAACAACAAAAGAAAACGTAACACACAACATAAACTACAGTAAGTTTTTGTTAATTCCTTACTAACTGTGGTATAACTTGGTAGATAATTAAACATATCTTAGTAACTTCTAAGTAGCAGCGGCCCAATAGAACTATGTGACGGTTTCAGACTGATTAGCTAGTAGAGAAACCAAGTGGAGTAAATAACATCCTATTCTGAAAGTTGGGTGCCAGATCTAGTCTTCTTCAACATAAGGAAACTTATGCTGAAAGTTTTAGTCTTGTTTTGAGACTTGAGTAGCAAATCCAGTGTAAAAACAAATAAAAAAACCCCATGTGTACACACACAGCCCCACCAACTGCAGAAATATCTTCACTGTCAGGTTTGTTACTTTGCTTATAAATTGAGAAAATAGTGTTTAATTCTTCAGCAGTATTTGTTTTTGTTGAAATAACTTCACTAATGTATTTTGGCAATCAAAAGAGGAAATTCCTCTAACCAGTGTAATTAAATTTTTGATCACTGTTTTTTGCATTACATTTCTTTTTTTAATGTCTTTTGTGTTTCTATTCAGTATGTGAAATTATTGACCTACTGGTTCCTTTCAATAAGTAAAATTCACATAATAGTAAAAAGTAATAATATTAATGTTTCTCTTCTAGATACTCTTTTGCAGCTGAGAAGCCTAAGAGTGACAAAAGGTAATTTCCTGAGTTGTCTGTAAAACTTTCAGTGAATCCCACTTACATGCCACTGAAACAACACCTGTTTAGTACTGCTACTGTGTTCTGTGTGCTTTTAGTGAAGAACCTAGTAGAAAAGAGTTTGTGATTCCTGCCGGAAGTGCTTAAATGCCATGCTAATACAGTTAATAAGCATTAACATACAGTTAATAAACAATTCTTCTTCCTGTCATGAATAAGGATTCATAACTTTTCTGCTCTTGGGGATTCTTCCACATTAGTGTCTGATTTTTGAACAGAAGTACCAATGATACTATAACTAATAACTGTGCTAATGAAGTTAAGTAGGGTATAGAATGATATCTACAATATGCATGTACCTTGCTCATGGGATGGGAATTTAGTAACAAAGCAAACAGGAGTGAATGTAATGAATTCTTGTGTTGTAATTCTACTGTTTTATTATTATAAGTGAGCCTAGTGCAGACTTACTTGGACAATTTTGTAGTGAAGGTTTGCTAATCTAGGATAGAAACACATCTTCTGGAGTTTAGGTGGATCAACTGAACTTCAGTTGAGATGGTAAAAACAGTGAAGCAAGTGAAGCAGAGCCACAGAGGAGGGGAAGGAGGAAGAGTTAGGGGTACTAACGCTATCTAAGGCTGTAAGATAATTCCTGCTTTGATTACTTGAGAATCTCTGGTGGAGTTACCAACATGTTAATTATTGTCATTTTTGGGGAGACATTTTATAATACGGCACATATTACAATTACAAACTCTTATTGTCCTTCTGTTACAGTATGCAAAACATTTATTTAAAGCACATCTTTTATCATAGTCTATGAAAAACTGATTTAAAGGTAACGATGCAGAGGAGAGGTCTACTTCTGGAAGAGAGAAAAAAGAAAAATAAGTTGCAAGATAATTAGGAAACCTGTTCAGAGAGGAGGTGTGAATACTAAGTTGTCTGCCTTATGACTAAGTAGAGGAGCGGTCGATGAATTCCTAACTAGCAGTCATTTTCTTCAGTGTCTAATTGGTACGGACAGATGTTTAAAAGGAAAAAAAATATCCCACCCCACATGATCTTAAAAAGACTTAAATTTGCTATTCTTGGTTATTCTGTCATGTTCTAATGTTCTTTGATGCCTGGCATATTCAAGCAGTTGTATTTTTTTTTTCTTTAAAGTGGGCCTGTTCTAGAACACTGTGATAAACAAGCTTCTAAAAGGAAATCATGCGAACAAGATATTACATCTTCAGGTAATGTTTAAAGTTGATATTTTCTTGCCTTTCATGTATAATCTTATAAGTTGTAACTGATGGTATGGCAATTTCTGTTGTATTCTGCTGGTCCACAGAATAAGAAATGCAAGATTGTATTTGCAGGGGTCACATTTCTGCCCAAGTATGTGATAGAATATGCTAGCTTTATTTTGTGTTAGTTTTCAAACGACAAGCACTTCATGATTTGGCATCAAGCCTACCACGATAAAATTATCCTTCCAAAATACTTCAACAAATTTTTTCAGACTCAGTTTGTACCAGTGTTCCATGTGATAGTCCATAGATGATCACTTCAGGCCACTCTGGACCAAACAGTACCGCTTTATTAAATGGTGGCCTGTTCACCTACAAGTATTTTTTTTAAGTTTCTTTGTGGAAATCGCACATATTGTCATAGTGAATATGAGCCCTGGGGCTAGAAAGTCTTTTTGTTAGTGTTTTAGAGACAGTTGTGAATGTTACTAGTTCATGCAGTGCTTTTCTTCAGAGACTATGTTTTGTGTTTTTTCTTGTAAGTTTGTTTTAAAGTTAGATTGAATGGTACAAAACTGAATGACATTGCGCTTTGATCAGTAAAATTGTATGCATAGTTATAATTTGCCAGTGTTTGTTTTATCAGAGGGATAGGTGTGAGGAACATCTACTTGCATGTATAGTTTTCATGTAATTTTCAAGCTTGCGCTGTTTAAAAGCTAATTGCATATACTCTATCTACAGGGGGTTTCACGTATGTTTAAAGAAAAAAATATTAGTGGGAACACAAACATTGGGAATTCTGCTTGTGTTACCTTTGGTTGCATTTAGTGGGTAGATGGAATAAAAGTCAGGAAAAGTAAATGCATATAGCAGTGTTTTTTTAATGTATTTTAGGTAATTCTGAAGACTTATCTTACCAAATGAGAGATATGTTCTCAAACAGCATATCAAGGCATAATAAAATAGGTAAGATTATTTTAAAATATCTTAATGTAAGTGCATAAATATAAATACATTTCCATCTTGATTGAAACTTTGCTGAAGGAGATACAGGAAAACACCTAGGAATGTGTTCCTATGTTAATAAGTACTTACAGATAAGGCTTGTTAGTTCTTCAGAGTAGTATAACACTGCTCTAATTTTGAAATTACTTAAAAAAGAGCTTCTAGTGTTTCTTTCTTATTACTATATTCAGTAATTATCTTTTAAACTGTCACATTTTTATTTTTCATTTAATATTGACTCGAGGCACTTCCTACGCTTTGGTGAGAATAGAAAGTTTGAATTAGTCCTACACAGGATGTAACTGAGGGTGCAAATAACCTGTTTTCTGTGGTGGTCTGAGTCTAGACAGGATGGAACAATGGGCACGCAGTTGATTTTAGTCCTATGCTGTTCTGTTTTTATTGTTTTCTATTTCCTTCAATATTATTTTATGCACAACATTATAGTTTTCTAACTTCAAAAACTATTTCAGCAAGTATTTTTTAATTTACAATTTTTTTTAGCATTTAAATATTCTTGTCTTATTTGCTCTCAACACTTAAGGGGCTTTTATTCGTTCTTACAAACACTAAAATATCAATTCATCCCGTATTCATGTATATGGCTGCTTAGAAAAAGTGAAAATTGAGACTAACAAGTAAATCTTAAATACCTGAGAAGTCTTGGAAATGCATGGGGTTTCTGTGGGCAAAAGTGCTGTTCTTTTGGACCTTGAAGAATGGGACTTAAGAATCTGGAAGAGAAGGGGCTGCTTATACAGTCTTTTCTATTCTCTTTCATAACCAAAGCAGCGCCTTTTTACTGCCGCTGACCAAATCCCTCAGATCTAGGCAGGGTTCTTAGTCTTCATAAAGAGCTTTCTTTTCACAGTTGTAGCATGTTTGCTGGTCCTTGTACTTGAGCCCCTATTATCTGTATCTCAATGATTCATAAAGATATACAGAAAGAAATCTAATGTAAAGTCAGCATGGTGGCTGTTTAAGAAAAAGGAGACTAAAATACTGCAGTATGCAGAAGAAAGCTTTTGGCAATACTTGATTCCTTTTTCCTGTCAGGATAGCAATGTGATATAAGTACTAGCTGGGAAGTTCCCTGATATAGAACTGCAGAAAAGGATACATTTAACATTTTCCACTTACGATTTTCCTTTCATACCTAATGCGAATTATTTCATCCTTAAAATTAGTGCTGCCTTCCAACACACCTAATGTTCGTCGGACAAAAAGGGTACGACTAAAGCCTCTGGAATACTGGCGGGGCGAGCGTGTAAACTACAGGTTGCTGCCTTCAGGTATTAGTTCTGCACTACTTATTTGCATTTTTTTTTCCTGACAAAGCAGTAAAGAGAAACCTGTGGGTGGATTTTGTGCCATGAAAACTTTGAAATGCTTACTATTCATTAATTTAAAGAAGTAGAATATTTGTGGTGTCTAGCTATTTAGTCATCTTTCCATGCAGTCTGTATCGCTGAATCTCTTGTGTCAGCATAGTATGTTAGGTACACTTACCTTAACTGTTTAGAGAAGAACAAAACAGTTTCTCTGTACTAGTACGTTTATTACATCAAAGTTTCTCTAGATAATGGAAAAAGAAGCAATCTACTGGATGATTCATCGGAGCATTTCTCACTGTGGGGATTGTTCTCCAGAGCAGAGACTATTAGCCAGTCTTGGTGTTAAATTGCCTGAGTGATAGAATGTATCTTTATTTTTTTTCTGACAATTCAGCCTAATTCGGTCCCTTTGTAATTAATTATTCTGCTTGAAAGTAGTATTTCTTTGTGTCCCTAAAATTGATATTTTGTCTTAAAAATTGGCTCTCACTTTACAGTTTTCCAAAATGTTCTGTGACTGCACCATGATCAGTTTTTTTTCATAAAGTCTCAAGTTGCGTTGTACTTCAAAATACTTGATGTTGAAATCAAGCTTTGGTTTGACCTGCCTTTCTAAAGCGATCTGAAAAGTTCATCGTCAAGGAAATAATATTCTCGGCTGAAGTGCTTGTTGATTGTACAAGTCTGCATTTTTTTTTAAGTTATTACGAGTTAGTGAACTTTGTTTAACTTTTTTCTTACAGGAGAGCTTGTGGTGAGTGGAATAGTGTGTCCTGAAAAAGAGCCTTATAGGAAGTTTAAACAGAGGAAGCGTGGTCTCAAGCAGAAAAGAGATCAACCAGGTATGAACACAGACTTCTTTCTTTTGATACTTAACAAAAAAACCCCAACCACTATAATTAAGTACTGTACTGCTGTAAGATTTTTCTCCTGTAAAAACTTAACGCTCTCTCTAGGTAAAAAGTACTTTTTCTATTAATTAAATGTGTTAATGTGATCTAATGTGGAAAAAGCTTATGTAAATGTATCTATAGCAGTGTTGTATGACCTTGTAGTAGGAACTTTAACTTCTCAGCATTACAATGGAAGAGATACATGACATATCCAGAAGTGTTGAGGTTCCTTAAAGCAGCAGGGGGTTGAAGAAAAAAACAAGCTATATTTTTGTCCTCGTTCAGCTCATTGATTGATGATGCTAACATGTTTAGTTTATAGTGCATATTCAAGGTATAAAAATTTCTGGTCATTTTACTGATGCCTGTAATGCCACATCTGAAAAGACAGCATATGATGTCAATAGAGTTTTAAGCAATTGTAGAGAGCTCAAAGAGCAGTGCATTAAATGATTAAAAGTGGGCAATAAATATGTGTTTAAACCAAGAGGAACAGGAAGCTTTGCCAGAGCCTCTATGGCCAGTAGATAACAAATATGTAGGTGGTGCTCAGAAAAAGGAAACAGTCGAAATCCAAAAGCCAAATTATTTTTGCTCTGCTCTCTGAGGAAGATGTTTTTATGCTGAAGAACCTTTCTTTATGGGGACTGTCTAGAGCTTTTTTTTGAGACTGAAAGATTTCTCTGCGTAGTTGCAGAACCTAAATGCTAAAAAACACGGAAAATGTAATATGGTCCTGACACAGTTTTAAAACAAATCATGGCTGAAATTATCATTAGTGAAGTAAGGAAGAAAACAGTCAATGTTTGCACAAATTTCTGATTTTCTAGTGTTGCCTGTAAGTTTTATTTCTTACCTCAAAAAGAAAGTAGTAGTATTAGAGAAGCTTCAGAGGAAGCTTGTCAAAAACATGGAAAGACTTCTTTACAAGAAGCAGCTACATGTTAAAGGCCCCTCAGCACTGAGAGAGTACTATGCAGGTGTGAGAAAGACCTATAGAAACAAATAGTTGCTTTTTTGTTGGATGCTTTTGTTTGTTTCTTCTTTAAACACAAGAACTGGAAGGTGTGGAGGGAAGATGGTGAGAGCTTGGTTTTTTTCAAAATGTACTCCCTGCCCCACAATGCTGTGTATAAAAATATGTAGATTCAGGGTGAGAACTAGGTAAAAGTCACAGAAGACGTAACTGTTAATAGCTCTACATGAAGTGTGTGAGGTCCATGTTAGAGGTAGAATGTATTGTTCCTTGTAATGATCCTTCTTCTGACTGCATTTAATAAATTCCTGTTCACTGTGAAGCTAAAATTGTCTGCTTAAGGGAGTTCTGCAAGAAAGCTTTGGTATATTCTTTTGTGAACGTTCTCTAGCATCTCTTCTATTTGAAAAATGTAAGTTTGTCATCAACTCTGAGGTTATTTCTTTCTCTGGAAAAATCCTTTCTATTAAATAAATAGTTCTCTGATTTACAATTTGTAGTGGGTTTCCTGTAATGGCATTTTTTGAGAAAAGGAAAATTGAGCATGTGCTTAATCTTTTGAATACTTTATCTCTTAAGTCTCCTGATGCCCATCAGCAGTTAGGTAAAAGGAAAAATCTTGTTCTTCATACTTCATCATGTATTTTCTCTTGATAGCCTTTTCTGTTGCTAGAAAAGCACTTCTCTTGAAACAGATACTTTTGAGTAAATATTCTCATGAATAGCATAAGATTAATAGTTGGCATTCTGGAAAATTGTTTAGAATTTAGAGACCCTATATCTATTACACACAAATAATTCCAATGAAAATTACATGTTCAAGGAATTGTTATGGATGGTTTCCTTTTATTTGAATAAACTGTATTCAGTGTTTAGACACTTAATAAAACAAATTTAAGCACTTCTGTGTCAAATCTAAAACTGTGGAAAAGTTGTGGTTAAATAATTCAGTTTTTAGAATGTAGAGTGATTGTTTTTCTGATTTTCTTTCTTTTTTTTTTTTTTTTTTTCCTCCTCAGGAAATGAGATACCTGCAAATTTGGGTCACACCCTAGTTGATAAGTCTAAACCGGCTGTTGTAGTGGATGTAGAAACGAATCAGGAAATATTTCTAGGTGAGTTGAGGGTATGTGACCCAAAGGCCTTTCTGAATGATGGAGTAGGTGTTTAGACTGATAAGAAGGAAAAAACCTGTTCATGCCACACTGGGTGTGAAAAAGTGAGCTGTTGAAATATTCATTGCTCTTCCAGAGAAAATTCTGGGAGAGACACAAAGTGTCCTGATTTTTGAGCTAAATGTTGAGTCATACTCGTAGGGGTGTTGCACTGAAACCATGTAATGTGTACGATTTATTAAGTAGTTACTGAGCAAGTAGGAAGACTAATTAATGTGTTAGCATTAACATTAATCTCCTGGACTATTTTTTGCAGTATGTGTTAACACTGAAAGCAGTCACTCATGCTTCTTCAGAGATGAATCAATAGAAATATATAAAAATCTGAATACATCTGAATTTTCCACTGGTAGATTGATTTTGAAACCACTTAAACAAAAGGGACACCAGTTTGTCCACTTGGATACAATAGTAAGTATGCTTTTTTTCTACTTTCATAAAATGTACAATGTAAACAGAAAATCTTGAAACTGTTAGAATTAGCTTATGAAGTTGACAGATTTGTCAGGGCTTTTTCCGCCATAATGCAAATAAATACAAGAAACATTAGTGAATCATTCCAGTTGTGTAATCAGCTGTGACCAAAGAAGTTGGGTCACATGCATTCACATTGCCCTGCATTGCTTCATGTTAAATCTGTATGTCCACATATGCTTACTGTCTGGATCTTGCAGGCAAGATAGAATTATGATGTAAATAAAATTGCCCCCCACTCCTCTTTTATGTGTAAATCTTATTTATCAGCATGGTGGGGAATAAGGTGTTTCAGTTCTACTAGATTATTTGGTTTTTTTATCTTTGTTACAACATGCATGCAAAACAGAGACTGTTTTCTTGGATAACTTTCTTAAATGTTTGCAAAGAAAACATTGCTAATCTTAGAATCCTTTGGCTTTCTTTAAGGCTTTCCATGTTATCCACGGAAAAATTATTGTTACCTTACATAAGACATCATACTGTCTGTCTACAGGGGACTTCTTCTATGTTCCAGCTGGTAAGTACCTGTGTTTAAAACCAATTTGTTGGAGAAGGATGAGACTAAATTTGCATGCCAGCTAATTTAGCAAAACCCAGGATACTTGATGGAAAGAGAGAAGTTTGAGTAGAGAGTGGGAAAGTGTGGGTTATGAAGAAAGGAGTGTGACCCAACAATGCATGTAGGTTGATGACCTAACCTTTGAAACAAACTTTTTGATACAAACACTTGCCTTTTTATGTGAGTTTGCCTCAAAAGTTTGGATGACACTACCAAGTCCAAAGAGTGAATTTCTCTTACTATTCTGGTTCTGTCCCTAGTTATAATGTTGGGTAAACTTCACAGACAGCTTAATCTTGTAGGTTTTTTAATCTTAAAAAGTTTAGGGGTCTGCAGAGACAATTTTGGTGTTTGCCTTTTGTGAAAGCAGATTATATAAACTGTTGAAAGTTCCATGTGGCCATAGGATCTATACTTCATTTCCATTTTTTCCTGCTTCTTTATGGCCTGTGTCAGTATCCCTGCATGGGCAGTGCAGTGGTTGTGGTGTATGATCTCTTTGTAATTCATCAACTGTGGCTGTATGTGAATAGTAGGATGTTGCTTATTCTTGACATTCTTTACCTTTCAGATGTTGTGATCATGTTAGTAGGACCACAAGTGAAGATCTGTGGATAAGTTTCTGTGTGCAGTTTTTATTGAGGTTTTCTATAGGAATAAATTAAAGTAACTTTAGTCACCCTAAAGTGACTAAAAAGTGGGTTTTAAGAGCTGAGAGCACAAGCTTGTTACATTCTTTTCAGTAAAAATCTTCTCAGTAAAGATGCATGTTATGCTTACCACAGGCTAAAATAAATTAAAATAGCTGTGTTCCTTGTTATCTCTTGGGAATGCAATGATGTGCCTGTGAGAGTGGCATCCCAGATTAGGGGCTAATATTCAGTTAAAATACATAAAATAAAAATACACTTGGCTGGAGACAGGACAAGACTTCAAAAATTCTTAGTGGCTTCTAAAGAAAACTTTCTCTTTTTATTTGTAGGAAACGGATATAACATATATAATCTTCTGAATGAGGACAGTGTTCTTCTCTTCACACAACTCAAAAGAGACAGCTGAAGAACTTTCTGCAGAAAGTTTGCTGAAACACTTCAAGCTTTTGTATGTTTTCAAATTCTTTTTGCATACCAAAAGTGTCTGCATGTGCCCAGCTTAACATTGCAAATTAATAGAGAGCAGTTGAACTCAACGTAAGAAGAGCTAGGAATGAAACCAAAAGAACCTCAGTGGTTTGCTGTCAAACTGAAATGACATACTGAAGTGCCTCACTCTGCATCAGTAACTGTTCTTGCAACTTCCAAAGACAAAGATAAATGTATGAAATTTGTGGGCAAAGCACATTGTTGTCCAAATTGTATTTATATATCTGATCTCCCTAAAGATGCGTAGCACTTGAAAAAATGTTGACATCTTCAGCTAACATCTGATTGTCTTAATGTCTGCCTGATAAAAACTGCTTAGAGTAATCTCTGTTTAAATGTAGCACCTTGCTGATTACATTCCAGTAATGGTTGTCTAGGAGATGGGCTGTTTAGTCCAGCATTCTTCAATGTTCATGACAAGCATTTCTTCCTTATCTAGCACATGCGTGATTAGAGCCTCAAAACTCAAATTTTAAAATGGGCCTCTTAAGGAGGAGCTTATCTCTTGTATCTCTTCTGTGGAAGCTGTGGTTTTTATTACCTCTGAATATTGTGGATAGCTTTGTTTAACAGCAATAGGTCATTGCCAAATTTATTACTTTAATACCTCCTGTTGTTTTGCTTGCTGTGTTCCTGGATAATAATGAGGGCCTTTGGGAAAACTGTAATTATACTGTACACTCCAGAAGCCAAGTCTAGACAGCAGATGGTATTCATAGCATTTGTCTCCCAAGCTCTTCAAGGTTTCTTCTCGCTCAAGATAAGGATAAACTGCAGCTATTCTGCTAGAGTGCTTTCTCTTTGTGGTCACTGCTATTCTAGAAGAAAAGGAGATAAGGAAAGTTAAATTTGAGTTGTAAACTTTGGGCTTGAGCGCTTGGTATTGACCCTGTAAAGAGTCTTAGCCATGTTTCTGTTCAATCTAGAATATACAATAGACTAGGAAAGATCATTTGGCTTCAGTGCTTAACTTAAGCTTTCAGCTGACAGCTAACTTTGTGTCATCTGTGAAAGGACTTGGACAGCAAGATCTTGTTGCCTCTGTGAAAGACCCTTTAGATTGGGGAATCTGAGATATTTTTTTAAATTCTCTTTTAAGCAGTAGTTCCTATGAGTACATAGTAGAATCTTTGTATTCATGGCTGTGCCATTCTTAACTATGGGAAGCTGAAACAGAGGAACATGCCTATTGCCGATTTAGTTTTTCCTCTGTCATGATATGAATTATTTTCTGTCCGAAGTTCCCAGTGCACAGAAAGACCTTTTTTTTTTTCTAGCCTCAGCTTTTGTAAGTGGTTTAAGAGTTGTTGTTTTGTGGGTTTTTTTAAAATCAGTTACAGATGATAATTTGATGTTTGCAGCTTTTCTAATTTTTGGGCATGGGTTGGCCTCTTCAAGGTCAGTAAGATTAAAATATTGTCCCTTCAGTGTTGGAGCTGTACCAACTACCGGATGGGCACTCATGCTGTCTCCGCTGCTTTAGGGATCCCACCAACTAAAATGTTTTGGTTTAACATCTTTCAGCTCCTCAGGCCTGGCAGTTTGCCACTTGGAAAACAGTACAGGACTAGTATTAGACCAAAGGTCCTCTGGTCCTCACTCAAGCGTGTCTCCCAGTGGCCAGGCCATGGATGTGGTGGTCTCTGAGCCCAAAGCTAGTTCATTGGTTCTATCTGAAAGTCAGAAGACTACTTTTCACTTGTGTTAAAAGCCAGGGAGTTCAGATGCAAATTTTCTTCTGCATCACCTGTCTGTAGATTGGGTAGCAGAAGGATACTTCCTTATGTGGTTAGTGAACATGTGGACTATGGGTCTTAATAGCCCCAAAAGACATTGTTGTGACTGCTCGAGGCAGCCTGTTGCTTTCCATTGAATGTTTCTGGTGGGTTCAGGTGTGAGGCGATAATATTGCCTTTCTAACAGACACCAGTGTCTTCCCCCACTGCACTGTGCTACAACGTGGCAGCACAGCTTTGAGTGGATTTTCTTTTGGGTCACAAGTAAACAATGAGAAATCCATGCTTCAGGATATTTTATTAAGCAGCAGTAATGTGTGCAGACATTTTCCTGACACAGACTGGAAAGTGGCAGATGTTCAAGTGTAGATTGAAGGTAAGCATGCCATGAATGCCTGTTTGTGTTTTCCTCGTTATCTGGCTGGGAGTGTCAACAGAGCAGGTTAGATTTGGTAACTTTTTAGGCTGGATGGTTTGGTTGCTTCCTTACTGGTCAGTTTTCTTGGGAAAATGTCCCGTATAGTTTTCAGAGAACATTTTGTTGTTGGACTACATCTCAAAACTTTTGTGGGTTTGTTTTTCTGTGGGTTTGTTTTTTGTTGTTTTGTTTTTTTTTTTGTTTTGTTTTGTTTTTAAGTAGCAAAATCAATTGTGCCAATTCTGGTGGTGTGTATCTTCAATGTGACTTTAGTTTGGTAACAATTCTCCTATTCGTCACAAGGTGGCGCTTCAAGCACAGGTGTTGGTGCTTGATGGCTTCTGTGATCAGTGAGATTTGTTTTTTGAAAGGGGAGAAGAAATGTATGTTACATATGCAGATAATTCCGTTGAATTCTATGGGAAGGAGATGGGAGATATAAATCAGTTGCCATTAACATTAGGACTTGGCATTGAGCCTTTCTAAGTTCATTCTGTTAGCATGTGTGTTGTAGTCGTTGCAGACACTTGTTCAAAGTTGTTTATTAAAATATTAGTACACAGCAGGAGTTGAGTTCAGCTAGGTTGTTCACTGTTTGTCTGGATTGAATTTTAATTTTTTTCTTCAGCTTGACACTTGTAAAAAAACTTGCTTCTGTGTCATTAGCCTGAATATAATGTAAGGAGGTGAAGGTCAATGTTCTAAGTTCCAGGACTCAGAGTTCCAGAATGTGGGTGCTGAGATTTACAGTGTGACAAACAAGAAGCAGCTAATGTTTTCACCTGGTCTTGGAGTTGACTCTTGCTTCCTACATTTTTATGTATGTCATGCTACTGGTAGTCTTGGGTGACCTTTCATGATCTTATTTTTTCTTTGCCAAATGAGATATTGCAAAGAAAGAAAAAAAGCTCTCTCTGAAATGTGAGAAGTTGGTGTTTTTCTATCTCCATGTGTGTAGTTCATTTTATGAGCATATTTTCTATTTTGTTGTGTAATCTAACTTCCACCGACTGCTGTGATGGTTTCAGATAGGTATGTGGCAAATTGTCCATGGTTTCTATAAGGTTATTTCCCTTTGATAGCTTTTAAAACAGCTTTTAAATGATCTCATAAACAATTGCTTGTATATTCAGCTCAGATGGCACAACTTTCTACTTACACTAGAGTACAGAACATCTCCTCTAACAGCAGTAGAGATCTGAGCCAGGTTAGTACTAAGCTAGGCCAAAGTCTGTTGTCCCATGTTACCTGCTGTGGAGTTAAGCTGGGATCAGTGTTGTGGAAGAGACATGGCCTTTTCTGTTGCCTTTGTGTTACATTTACCGTTCCTGGAGGAGATATCGCTAGTTTGGTATTGCTTTCTGTCAGCAGTAATTGAGAGAGCTGGAAACAAAAGCCAGATGACATACTTCATCAGCTTCATGTTAGTAGGTACATGTATTCTACAGTAGGTATTGTAACAGCTAGAGGCGTATGTTAAGGAGCTTAACTGACAATGTCCCATCACAATAAAAAGTCAGGGGTTTTTTTTAAGGCTTTGGCTCCCTTTGAGAAAAAATACCTGTTAATTGGCTCTTCTGAACTTTTTTTTATAGCTTAATTTGGTTAGAAAACTTCGTGTTCTACTAAGCAGAGCCTTTTTGCAGTTTAAAGTGACAGAAGAGTGGTTGCAAAACTCAGGTGTATGCGCACATTCATATTCGTACAACTTTTTGGACATAAAATTGGAGAGCGTAAGCTGAGTAATTTCAGAAGAATAAACAGCAATAAAAAACTGAGGCATGCTTACAATTTCTTCTGTTATTTAAGTACACAGCTGAATTGTTTATCTGCAGATGATTTTAAATTAACATTTAGGGAATGCAACAAATCTAAAGAGCTATTTCCTCATTTCATAACAGCTGAAAAGACACCTCAGCATGAAGGAAGATTTCCTGCATTTCTGCTGATATGTAGACTGTTCAATCATGTCTTTTGTAATACAGGGTTTACTTTAAGTGGTGGGTGATTGCAGATAATACATCTATCTGAAGAGTATGGAATATGCCTCTTTAATGGTATCGACAGCTGTTGTAACTGAATATCTTAGTCTTTCAAAGCTGGTATATTTCCCCTTCAGAATATCCTGTCAATTCATGGATGTTCATAAATGTAGTCAGAAGGCGGCACAAAGCCAAATGTTTCTCAGATTATGTGGTAAAGCTCCATTTAGGATTTGACAACCAAAATGATTCCCATGGTCCGGTTCTAAGATGAAAACTGTAGCTGATCATCAGTCAAAACAGTTGGCTGCAGATTACTAGGGAATGAATATGTTAAAAGGAATGCCTGCAGAGCTGCTCTGTGTTCTTAAGCCCACCCACAAAGATTCTGTTCTGGTTTGTTTCTTTTAAGCTCCTGTGCCCAAGTAAAGGCTCACACAAAAGGTTGTAAAACCATGTTTACTTTGCACTTCTGCAGTCCTTTCTTGTTTGGAGCACAAGAGAGGCAATAATTGAAACAAGGAGCTGAAAGAAGCAAAGTGTTTACTTTCTCAGTCTGACTGTTCAGTTAAGATGTAAATCTAAAAGTGTTCACAGAAAAACATTAATATCCTGAGTAAGATCTTTAATTTCTCTTCACAGCTCAATAGGCAAGGACTTTTGCAAAATGAAGAATTGCAGTATTCTTGACAGCTTTTAGGAAGTTTATTAAACGGATGCTGTAGCTGTCCACGCATTATTTTATCTAGCTTACTTTATTTTTTCGTGATCATGGTGTTTGAAGTTGCCATTTCCTGTGTTTTCAGTAATAGTAGCTGAAATGAGAATTGATCAAGATGGCAGATGCATGGTAACGCTGTATGGATGTCATCTGGAATCAACGTGCTGTAAAGAGGGAAGGAAAGGAGTTACATGGGAGAGGTGTAAATATAACGAAGAGTGATAGTGGTGTCCAGAGGTGCTGCAGACTGGCTTGTCTTGGTTGTGCAAAGGGTTGTCAATGAAACTCAATCACTTGGAAGAGCAGAATATGACCCTTCCGATTGGTAAGGGAAACCTTTTCAGTGTCTGTGCCATGAAAACACTACTGGCTATGCTGGTAACCTACACTCCTGGTTTGAAATTCTAGTAGTGCTATGATCACTTGCATTTAAGAGCATGAAGTCAGCTTATCTGAAACTGCAGGATTCAGCTAATGAACATGATGTATAATCCACTAAACAAGAGGTCTAAACTTACTGAATTCTATCCTTTATGTTAGTGTCACTTTCGTTTGTTTTTTTTTGTGCAGGGGAGGCAATTACAAGAAATGAAAGTTAGTTATGAAATTTTTTTTTAAACACAACCTGAACTTGAAATTTCATTACTGACAAAGAGGGGCCTCACCTAGGATGCAGTAGCCTATATGCTGAAGAAACTAAGCACTTCTATATTCCACTTAGTGCTGAGTCAGCTCTGAGGCTAATTAATCAAAACAAATTTACAATTAAGCCCAGGAAGGAAGACTAATTAAGTAGCCAGTTAAAAAAAGTGCTGAAGGAGGGATCAACCTTAAGGGAAAAGCATGAGACTGCTAGTATTGGCCCATGAAGGACAATTAAGTGATAATTGCAGCAGCCTTTTTACATCCAGCAAATGCTCTCTGACTTTTATTATGGCTAATTTTCTTCATGTTAGTAGAAGCAGACATTTGCTTGTTGAGCAACTAAGTTTTACTGGGCTCTCTTAAGGTAATCTGTAGGTAAAGAACAGAGGTTGCTGCAGGAATAGATTAGAACACTGTTGCCAGACTGCAACACTGTCTTAGCTAGTGAAAAAGCCCAATCGTGTTTTAAAGACAACTCTAAATGTTTGCTTTATTTGCCTTTTTGTTTTGTGGTATAGCAAGTCCATCTTAGCATCCTGTTTAACCTTTCAAATTGCATTCAGTGAATTATCTTAGCAGAATATTGAATAGCTTAATTTTGTTCATCTGCTAACCCTCCGTAAGTTCACAGAATTCATTGCCTTGTTATGAAATAGTTTCTGTTGCTTACATCCTGCACCCATGCTGCATGACATACTTGTGTTTCTTGATGGAAAAAAGAGGGGGAACTATAATAGTAACACTGTTTTTACTGAAAATAATTTAGCTTCTCTTCTGAAGATCTTTTCAAGCATGGAGAGCTCTGGTGAGATGCAAATGAAGTTCATGCCCTAGTCTTCCTGTGGCCCTTCTTGCCCAGTTCCATGGAACTGTGATGCTGAAGTACAGAACCTTAATTGGACACAAGCACGGGCTCCACCTTTTTGGTTTTCAATGCACTTCTCTGGAACTTAAATTATTTCAGAAGTTAGAAATAAGGGGTCTCCTCATACAGAAAAAATGTTGGTAGTAATATTCTTTTCTTCATGAAATTTCATGTGCACTTGCTGCCAGTGTCCTGCTATTCAAGTTGGCAGTTTTCTCCTTGAAGTGTCTGTCAGAAGTGTACTTTTGTCTTCCTTTGTTTTCTTCCCCTCGGAGTGGGCTGTGAGATGAGGCATTCACTTGTGACTGTTAAAGCTCCTCAGCTGCTGTGTCAAGTTCCAGTCTGCTCCTTCCTATTTTACCTTGCTGCCTAAACTAATTCCATGCTATTTTTTAATTAATTTCCTTAACCAAGGATTTCTTTTTGTCCTTGTACTGCTTGTGAGGAGTATATAATTTTTCTAACTCAGTTCTAGGTATTTGAATTATTTCAGAGGTGTTCTTGTGCCTGAAGGTTTCTGTACTACCTCTCCTTCAAGCTTCGTACAGGGCCTGGCAAACCTCCCAATTTTCTTGCTTGAGAGAAGTGATGCAATGCTTCCTTTGGCCTCCATTCTTTGAAAGTCTTTTGTGTAGCTTTAATCCCAAGAAGGTTGGCTTAGGATGTCACTGGCAAGGTGTTTATCATTGTCATCTGCCATTTTTCAGGCTGCAGAAGCAGAACAGAGTCTGCTTCAGGCCTGCGCGGTTGCCTCTGAGTCTCGTCCATCTGTTGAGGCTGGCTCTGCAGTGATGAAAGGATCTATCCCAGCACCATTCCCCCTGGGCAGACTTATCCCAGAGATGGTGGCATTGTGGTTTCTGCTCCTCTTGTAGCACTAGTTCAGTGTGCTGCTGAATTCCTTTGCCTTGGAGCAATCTTCCTGTGGCTCTGCCATCACTTAGGCACTATGCCATGGCCTGGTTTTGTACTGGCAGGCTACTCCAGACATTCACCTGCACTTACATTCTTCATTTCTCTTGCCAGTGGGAATGCTGTTTGGCACCAGCTGGTTTTGGCACAGAGGTCTAGCATGGCAGTGCATGCCCATTGCTGCGGATACAGATGTAGAAAGATACTCCCTCTCACACCCTGCTGCTGCCTACCTTTCTGGTAAATACCAGGAGAAAATACTCTTCCTGGTTTTTGATGTTTCTTCAGTGTCTAGGGAGGAACCTGGGCTGAATAACATGGAAGAGCCAGGTGGCCCTTCAGGATAACATTCATATGTTTCTCTTAGACGCAGAGCTGAGACCGAACCAAGCTCATTTGATGTATTCTTCTAAGTGGAGCAGCTTTGTCCACAGTTCAGAGCTTGCCATCTCCCTTCTGCCTCTGGATTCCCTGTGGGTGGAAGTGTGTATTTGCAAATGACATTAGAGTGGTTTGGGTACATGCTTGGCATCCTCATTCTGTGGTTGCTGTGGAGAGCTCAAGAGGTACAGAAAAGATCAGGAGATAAAAGCTCTCATGGGGAAAGAGAGCTTATCTGAATCTAGGGCAACCAGCTCTAGGTGGTCCTGCTTGAGCAGAAGTGTTGGTCCAGATGATTTCCAGAGGTCCCTTCCAATCTCAACCAATCTGTAAAATGGGAGACTCCTGTGTTATGGAAGTTACTCTTCTGTGAGTTTAGTTCACACATCTTGGCAGCACTCTTCACACTGTACAACTCAAATGGAGGGCCTTTTCTGTGTCACACAGAAGGCCAAGAGTACAATACTGGAAGAGCATGGGGTGTGCCAGAGTGGTGGTCTTTGCTCTGAGGTGTCCCTAAGAGGAAGACACTTACCTAGGGTTGATGAGAAGTCCACTGATGAGTTTTGGGGAACTGGCTAACAATTCTCTGCATATATACCCCAAAACATTTTAGTTTAGATATTTTGATAGTGAGTTGTTATTTTCAGTTGTGAATCTTAACGGCAGTCTTCAGTCTGTATCCAGGCTTTAAACCAGCTTGAAAGTTTGGCATCTTGTACAGTCCAGTCTATCAAGTGGCTGCTATTTCCATGCAACTCTACATCTGGAATAACAGTCCTCAGCTGTCCCTTGATGTGGTGAGTTGCATCAGATGTTATTCTCTCAGTTGGCAATGGTTTTAGTTCTTGGACATTTGCCTACTATCAGAAGCTTTGTGTGGCCTTTGGAATTGTAGATTGCAGACCATTTGTCTAAATGTGAGCTCAAGTGAATTAAAAAACAAGATTTTTACAAAAATAGCATGAAGCTCACATGCCCATTAACTGCTGGGGCCTCTTGGTCCTGCACAAAGTACAGAATTTCATATTGGAGATGGCATCAGAAAATACATACAGAACAAGCGTTAGTGTCACAAGTAGGTGTGACTTTGACAAACTCCAAACTTTGCACAGAGGAACGCATTCATTGGAGACCACTGTTAATTAAATTAAGTTAGCCTAATGTACTCTTTTGAGTATAATTGAAATTCTACTAATATTTTTTATTGATTTGCCACTGGAGTGGTGAATGCTCTAATGTCCTCGTTGCTGTGAGTACAATTTGCAGTTGTTCCACTTTATGGTCTAGTAACTCCCTAACACTGTGGCACAGTCAGATAGACCTTTTAAAAGCTGTTAATTTGAACTAATTTCTGTTCTTTTTATAATTTAGATCAAAAGCAAGAAACATATTTCTGGAGACCTATTCCCCATAACTTTGCCTGCAAATCAAAGATCATCTAATGCAAAGAAGCTGAAGAACACTAGCTACCATCAAGCTGGAAATTCACCCTAGTTTTAGGGGCATGTTGTTTCATCCATCTTAGAAGATCTTCCTCCAGTGTAAATTGTAAATACATGGTTTGTAACAAATTATTTTTTTCTTTTGTATCAATAAATATTAAATAATGTAATTCAGTTTTAATTTCTTTCCTGTATGAATTAATTTTCTAGTAGTCCATGGGGTTTTGAAAATGCAGATTAACTGCATGAGTTTGACTTGTAAATATTTATAAATAATGTGAGTTACCTTGAGTGGCTTCAAGGATGTCACCAACAGTGAAATCTTTTAACTGTTCAGTTGGAGTTGTTGAAATGCTTAAAAGGATTTTGAAACTAAAAATCACAGAATCATTTAGGTTGGAAAAGACCCTTAAGATCATCAAGTCTAGCTGTAAACATCACACTGCCAATTCCACCACGGTACCATGTCCCTGAGCACCCCATCTACATGCCTTTTGAATACCTTAATGGATGGTGACTCAGCCACTTTCCTGGGCAGCCTGTTCCAGTGTTTGGCTATCCTTTTGGTGAAGACATTTTTCCTAATATCCAATCTAAACCTCCCCTGGAGCAGCTTGAGACCATTTCCTCTTGTTCTATCAGTTGTTATTTGGGAGAAGAGACCAACCCCCCCACCCCCAGCCTCCTTTCAGGCAGTTGTAGAGAGCGATAAGGTCTCCCCTCAGCCTCCTTTTCTCCAGACTAAACACCCCAAGTTTCCTCAGATGCTCCTTGTAATATTTGTTCTCCAAGACCCTTCATCCTTCTCTGGATGCAGTCCAGCCTGTCAGTGTCCTTGTAGTGAGGGACCCAGAACTGAGCACAGTACTTGAGGTGCAGCCTCACCAGGAGCAAATACAAGGGGACCATCACCTCCCTCTTCTTGCTGGCCACACTATTTCTGATACAAGCCAAGATGCTGTTGGCTTTCTTGGCCACCTGGACACACTGCTGGCTCATGTTCAGCTGCTGCTGACCAACACTCCCAGGTCCTTTTCCTTTGGGCAGCTTTCCAGCCACTCTTCCCCAAGCCTGTAGTGTTGCAAGAAGTAATTGTGACACAAGTGGAGGAACCTCTTTGAATCTCAGCTGCCAATACAGATTAGATTTGGAAAAGCAGTGTTCCTAGTTGACGTGGCTTTGGTTCCAGTTCAAATCTCTGCTGTTGCTGTCATAGTTCTACAGAAGGTCTGGGCTGAAGTGTTGGAGATTTCTTTTGCTTTTCAGGTAATTCATAAGCAGCGCTGCATTCTGCTGCAGTGTAGTGATTGTTCAGTGCTGTTCAAATTTGGTATGTAATGACTTGCACTCTCCTCTGCATTCTCTATGAAATTTTTAAGGTGTTTCCGTTTAGCTGAAGATGGTGCTCCCTGAGAGTTACCCATTATGGCAGGCCTTGCATAGTCATCAGAGTGAAATAATAGTAAAGCACCTCCCATCCCTTTGGGAAAATATGGTCCATTAGTTTTTTCATTTGCCAGGAGCATCAGGTTTTAATATTTTTCCCTTTCCCTTTATCTTCTGGGAATATCAATCTGCATGGATCTATTATTAATTCTACAGCAATGAGCTCATTTTCTAAAAAATCTTTACTGTGGGTATTAAAAGTAGGTCTCCCTAGGAATGATTTAAAATCCAAATTGGACTCAAGTATGCTATGCACAGTGCTGAGTTGTTTCTTTTTGCTGGTAGTGGTTGGTAGGTTGTTTTTTTTAAAGTATCTCTGCCTCATCTGAACTCATTGCTTTTGTTGTAAGCTAAGTGTTGTCTAGGTTTAAGACTTGGGAGTCTGTATCAGTACTAAAACAGTTCTGGAACCAGAATGATTTTTGAAGGTGAGAGAGTGAAGGAGAGAGTCATCTTCTGAACAACAGTGTGCTGAGCAATGGATTATAGTGTAGCAGTTATTTAATGTTGCAGAGAAAGGAGCAAGAGGGGTTTTCCAGTCCTGGAAAGTTCTTTAAACTCCGTTTATCACATTCATTCCCATCAGCCCTGCCCAAGCAGCACTTGTTAGCGTTTTGCCAGTGAGAGCCCTGCTGAAGTGCAGGCTTTCGACCTGCAGCTCTTGTGGTTCTTGAAGTCCTGTCTCACTCTCAGGAAGTATTTATCATTAACTGAAGCAGTGGAGAATCTGACTCTGACACTCAGCTGTCTGCTGCCCTTTCTGCCTGGGTAAGTGCCCAGCTTCCACAACATTTGTTCTCCTGGGCTGTGCTGAACAGGAAGGGGAACCTGGCACTGCCTTCTTGTAAGGGCCCCAAAACTGCTGCCACCCAAGCACCGTTGCATCGTGGTCAGCTGCTGTATGGGGTGCTTTGTAGGATCCCTCAAGCAGGATGTAGATCTGGGCACTCTGCTCGTCTTGACTGTTCAGACAGGGTTGTGCTCCCTTGTGCTCTTGTCTGACCTGAGGAATTGTTATTGCTTTTCTTCACTGCAGTGTTTTGGAGATGCTTTCATCCAGAGCAGTCCATCACAGTATCTTGTTAATTGGATCAAATGAATGCACTGGACAGAAACAGCAATAACCACATATATGATGTGCTGTGTTTTGATAAGAAGGAAGGTTGTTAATACAGGTTTTTCTTTAGCCTGCCATAACCTGGAAGAATCAGAACAGGTGCCCTTCCTGTGCCAATTAGGCTCATAACTTCACAGAAGGAGGGCAGTTCCAGTAACATCTGTACAGTGACCCAACAATAATTTTTAGGAAGCAAGGAGCTTCTTTGTCTTGTATCTTTGTATTGGTTCTTTTCTTTTTTGGGGTGGTGGTGTTCCTCCAGTGTTCATAAATGTGCAGTTTCAAGTTTGCCATGTCAATGGAAGGTCTAAAAAGTTTCAGGAGTTGTAAGATAAAGAGGTAAAGTGAACAACTCATAGGGGGCACAGCAGAAGCAGATCCTGGATTTCTCCAGTATAAAATAATTCACCTTAATTTTTTTATCACAGCGGATAAAAAGCAAAGCACTGGTCTTAAAAATTATCCCAATCATCTGGTTTCCTCTCACTGCACAGCAGGAGGAGGCAGGTTCTCCAGCAGCCCAGGCCCAAGCAAAGGTTCTGGTGGTTATAGTGTAGCCCAGTTGCCAGCAGGGCATGTGAGTAACTTGCTTGGTATGTGCCATGAGCCATAGTCACTGTTTGGGGATTACCAAGCCGATTCTGAGCTGCTGTGACCACTTGTGCCTTGAGATGTGGATGCAAAGGCACGTGCTTGTACCCATGACTTGAAAACAGCCTCTGAAGCTCCAAGTTATCTGGTGGCGGTAGATTATTAAAAGTTACATTTATTAAATGCTTTTGGCAACTCAGGGTTGGTTTTACAATGTGAGTCTCATTTAATTTCAGTATCTTGAGTTAAAAAGATCCTCCTGTAGGAAGCAACTTGGTCACGCTGGTATGTGGTCTACTGGTGTGTAACTGTGGCTGCTTTCTCATGTGATTCAGCTATTTCTAAAATAAGACTCTCATTCCTCTGCAGATAAGAAGGTTTAACTTGTCTGCTAAGGACTCTGTGATTTATTTCCCCCCTTTTCTGTTTTGAAGTGGGTATTATCTATACACATGCTTAACTGAAAGAATACATAGCTAACCACTGCCAAATGTTTTGCAGCCTAAGGAATTAGTGGAGTTCATTATGTTGCATAGAGAAAGCCAAAGGACGAGGTGTGGAAAGCTCTCCTGGCTGCCTCTTTTGACTCTGGGGAAAGCTTTCCTGAACTGCAATAACCTTGCTTAGCTTCCGGTGCTGTCCCAGCCTGGTGGAGCTCTGCCACACACCACTCCTACTGCCATCCTATCTGCTTTCTACTGCTCTTTCTGAGATCCCAATCTGTATAAGATGAGAGGAGAAGCCTATTTCCAGCTCAGAGGGATTGCATTTATTATTTTCGTCTAATTTTTTTTTTGTTCCCCATGAAGGAAATAAACACAATATAACTAATCTGCAGGATTTGCAGATGGAAGTTCATACAGCCCAGGATTCATGGGCTTGAAGTCCTGTGCTTGATTATTTTACAGTTATGGCATAAAAATCAGGCTGCTTTAAGTTACTCTGCTAAAAAAAAAAAGTGCTTGGACATGCACTGAGCCAAGGGAACTTGAACAGGAGGTAGCCTGGTATTCACTGCCTGGAATTTCCCTGCTGTTGGTTCTGTTTCTCTCACACACACACAGACAGGGTGGGTGATGTGAACACTTCTGAACTGGCAAAAAGACTAATGTGGTGTGACTTTTGGTTGTTGGTGTCTCTTCCCTTCTCTTCTGGAAGGTAAACAGGCACTGCAAGTGATTTATCAGAAGGAGTCAGAAGAGTGTACTTGGCTTTCAAATTTTTAATTTTTTTTTTTCAGATTTGAATGAGTGTGAATGCTGTGTTGTTTTGGCTTTGTTCATTCCTCTGCAGATAAGAAGGTTTAACTTGTCTGCTAAGGACTCTGTGATTTATTTCCCCCCTTTTCTGTTTTGAAGTGGGTATTATCTATACACATGCTTAACTGAAAGAATACATAGCTAACCACTGCCAAATGTTTTGCAGCCTAAGGAATTAGTGGAGTTCATTATGTTGCATAGAGAAAGCCAAAGGACGAGGTGTGGAAAGCTCTCCTGGCTGCCTCTTTTGACTCTGGGGAAAGCTTTCCTGAACTGCAATAACCTTGCTTAGCTTCCGGTGCTGTCCCAGCCTGGTGGAGCTCTGCCACACACCACTCCTACTGCCATCCTATCTGCTTTCTACTGCTCTTTCTGAGATCCCAATCTGTATAAGATGAGAGGAGAAGCCTATTTCCAGCTCAGAGGGATTGCATTTATTATTTTCGTCTAATTTTTTTTTTGTTCCCCATGAAGGAAATAAACACAATATAACTAATCTGCAGGATTTGCAGATGGAAGTTCATACAGCCCAGGATTCATGGGCTTGAAGTCCTGTGCT